GTGCCGGAAGGCATAATTGAGCTAGCCATGTGAGAAATACGAGAAAGAGCAGATGGACAAACCGGAATACTAAATACGATTCGCAAAATTTTTTCATGAACACAAGAAAACGAAAGGAACGCTTGGCCTGTTTTATGGAGAAGTCCAGATGACAAAGCCCAAAATAGAAGAGCAGAGAAATTGCCAGTTGCATCAGTGGCGAGAAGAAATGCGATAATGAAACAACAATTTGTTAAGATGTCAAAGTGTATGCGAAAAAATTATCCACTTATAGCACACCTATTAATTAAAGACGCAAATGCCTGAGAACACAAGCAAATAAAAAATGTGCTTTTGCGGTAATCTGTTGCGGACAAGCCGTATTTGAAAATTTTTTTACCTGATAGTTGCTCGTTATAATTAATGCTTTGTTTCGCAAGCTTTCTGTCATGGCTGTTGGTGCTGGATGTTTCTGTTTGCATTGGAGAGTCTCTAATTTACTTTCATCATCCAAAGCATTATTACACCATTCATACAAATCATTGATGCTATCGAACTGATCCTATAAATAAAGTAAATTTTATTCGAATTCTAGTTTTATGCCTTCAAGAAAAACCTCGTCGCCTTCCATCACAAATTCAAACTTCTCACCCGCATTGCATCGGTTGTGATATTGAAAGCCAGAAAAGCTCTCCTGCAGTTTGGCCAATCGTATTCTGCCTCGATTTGCTTCATGCTTTCGATTTTCGGGAAACGATATCCAATACTTTGTAAATCACTGATCCAAGCCTAAAATTTAGGCCATTAAAAAGAAGCTGCAGAATGAATGGGAATTGTTGGACCAGAGTCTTTTGTCATATAAAGCCATACTGTAAAATTCCATTTCTTTGAACTAGAACAATCTAAATGCCTTAGTTCCAATCTTGAAAGAAACAAGATTTTCGATAATATTGCCAGTATATAATATTACTTGGCGCTTGTAATTGGGCTTAGGCGTGAAAAATGTGTTAACATCCAGTCAAAGTCAAAAACTCTTTCTGGATTTGCTCTCAGTGGAAGGTGAAGGCACCCAGAAATTGCCCGAGTGGTAACAAATAGCAACCACATGCTGACAGATCTGTCGGAGCAATGTTTGATAAATATCAAAGCTAGAAGTTCAAAAATTCGAAAATATGGAATATTTAGGAAAAATATAGAATATAATTAAAGTAATTTTAATAATTGATTTAAAATAAGGCCAGAGCAATTGATTAAACCAATTAATTTTCTGTGGTGGTCTCTAGAAAAAGCTCATTTTGCAAAAATGTCCAAGTTACAACATGATTAAAGAAAGCTGATCAAGGCTAGATCGCATAATATTATTTCCTCGACTAGTCGCTCAGTTGAAAATTCACTCAAACCAAAATTTCGCGCCGTATTTTCTCTTCAATATGGAGTAAAAGCACTCAGTGGTTTCTGAGTGTAATAACTGACAATGGCAACCACTTGCTGGCAAGGCTGCCGATGGCTCCCTTTTTCGAGAAAATCTATTCACTTCTAAAGTTCGAGCGGAATTGGGATGAGGGGAAGGGAAGAAACACTACGATGGGTTCATGCGATTCTGAAGTAAAATAGTTACAACGATTTGTGGCTCAGAGTGAGAATAAGCAGCCCAGCTGCTTCTTAAAGTATACGGTAATAATAAGAATCCTATAAAGCCATGCTTTAAAGTATATTTTTAAAACCAAAAATTCTTTCATTTTCTAGCATATTTTGGCGGATGAGATGCAGTTCTAGCAAATCTGCAACCGATTTGGCACTACATCTCAGATAACATCACTGCTGTACAACAGCGATCTAAGTAGTTTCATTAACAAAAAACTGTAATGTTCTCAACTAACTCGATAATGCGTTCGAAAAATTTCTTTAAAGAAGGCCAGTTTGTAATATTTTTACCGTACTTCTGCCAGACTGACTTCCTCCGTGCCCCAGAATTGCTGTTGTGCCAACAACTGGGTTAATTCGATGAGGCATGATTCGATTGCAGTACTGCTACAATTCCATTTGGCCAATAACTCAATCAATCGCTCAGAATCACTGTACAATTTTTCTTCTTCCTAAACTTTTACTGGAAATTCCTCACAAAGCGCAAAGTCAAAACGCTTTTCTTCGAGAGCGTGTAGAATTTCTGGGCAAAACAAGAAAACTGTTTGTCTGAAGTCATAATACTTCTGGAAGTAAAAAAAAGGTAACCTTGAAATCTGCTAAGTAGTTGTGAGGATTACGCCTCTGAATTGCATTTGCAGGATAAAATCCAATTGTTCCACCAACAAGATGTAGTAATCGCTGCGCAAAATAACCTAAATCATTTCAAAAATCAAACTTGCTCACGGCATGAAAATACAAAATTAGCGCACAACTGTTCTTAATAGATTGTAATAAAAGCTTTAAGTTCAGTCATTATGGAATTCTGCCTTATAATTTTTCGCATTCAGTAACTTCAGTGGATTTTCCAATCCAAGTCATACAGTCGAACTTCTACGACTTCTACTATAATTAAGATCTCATTGCTGGTAATCGATAAATACAATAAAATTATCATAGCACAATAATTATCAAAAAAAATTTGTTGAGAACGCAACAACAACTAACCTCGCCAGATGTCAGTGACACGGAAAGTAACCGTTACCGGAAGCCATAAAGTGAAGAATGCATCGCGATGGAACAATGTATTTTGGCTGTTAAATGGACTGTATACACCTAAATTCGATTAGATTTGTAAAAACTTAAATAGCATTTAATT